TCCGGTCCTGGTGCCATCTCACGACTTTGTAGGGCTGTTTCGTACCTTACTGCTCCTTACGACGGGCGATCAAAATTACATTACATTCGCCCGTACGCATTGTATCCATAGGCTGTGTTGCAGGAGGCTAAATGAACTGCTCTTTGAAGTGCTCGGCCCATCTTCCCAGTCGGTTTTCGCGAGTGAATCAATGAGCCATATTTTTCACTTATCATTTCGCTGAACGTTTATTTCCTAGGGCCAGTCGATCACATCAGTGGATAAAGGGCACAGCTATTTGCCGTAACAAAAGCTTTCTTGATCTCCCAAGTTTTCGATGTCCACTAGAGCTCTCCGTCTTTCCTTAGATTCTTACCTATTCGGTGTTTCAGGAATCTGCGTGCGCCGTCGTTCTCGTTGCCTGCTGGTATGGCTTTCCTGGCATTAATCATGCATAGCGATTTCGACGACATGCACTGGTCTTGTGGTTGAATTGGAGAAGTCGGACAGACAGTAATGAACGCCGTCAACATAGCTCCTTTAACACATTGCCACGCTCCATCCACATACTCACTGCCATCACAGCGTTGGTTTACTGTGGAGAGATGTTGGGCTAACTCAAATCGATATTTTTTTAGCTACGGCATGCTTGCTGACTTGCGAGGGCATAAAGAGAAACGAACTGTCAGGCATGCATGCACCGTGGCGTGATCGGAATCAAGTGGTGTGCCCCAGAAGGAACAGGTCGAATTGTGGCTCTCCACCGGTGGCTGATAACCACGTGGACCAACTGCGTCCACAGTTAATTTGCGGTGACTGACCGCCAAGTTATGCGAACGTTTATTTAGAAAGTTCGTACTTGCCAAAAACAGTTCATGATCAGCACACAACTGAAGGAGTCAATCTCTGTCGTCTGTGCGGCTAGCATCAACTCAGAATCTACCGCCGAAATGTGACTCCAACTGATTCCAAACTGATATCCCATTAAGTGTATATGGCGAAATCTGCCCAAGCAGGACATACGGTTGACGGAAACTCGGA